AGCTGTACTATCACTGAATCTGGCAATTAATTTGAAACTACTGTTTCTAAGACTTAAACATATAACAGAATTTGAGAACTAGCAGGATTGCTTTATATCCTTTTTAACACTAATATCCTCCAAAGCACACAGGTTTCAAGAAGCGAAACAGAAGCAGGGCAGCAAAAAGGCCAGAAAAAAGTCAGTTTGCAGTTGTTGCTAAAGCAAGTGATTCTTTTCAGTTTTCCAGAACTTAAATGTACTTATTTGCAGAAATGATAGATGTGGTAGTTACCTTTACTTACAGAGATATCAATATTTACACCATTGGAATACCATTTGGAATATGGCCATCTCTTCATGCCTTTACTACATCAAAAAGTGATCTTTCATCTATGGGTTTTTTTCCCCTGCTTTCTTCAAAAACAAACCAACCAAAACAACCCCCAAATACCAAGCAAACAAACAAACAAACAAAAAACCCGAACGCAAAACTCTGATATACTCCATCCACTTCAAGCATTGTGCTGAGTTAATTCATCTTACTTTCCTCCTTTCTAAATCTGACCTCAAGCCAAAAGAACGAATCCCATACTATCATGTATCCATGTATTTGGCAGGCTGATTGATCTAGCTTTTATGCTCGTATTGACATGTCATAGACTCAGTTGAGCTTTTACATTCAGTGTTGAAAAACCTTAAGTTTCACAGAGCTGAGTAACTCCTGACTATTTTGTTCTAGAGCATTAATGTCCTGTTGACAGCAATTTCTTTTAAGTTGAATATTAGACAGTTGCTTTAAAAGGTCTTCCAGGTACTTATTTAGAAGTCATATTTAAGTGGTTGACCAATCATTGAACAATGTTCATTAAAATGATTACTAACAGGTATAGATAAGCATTTTAAAATTATTTGCTGTTTTTATGAAGCACTGATACTTACACTCAAATTGGAACATGTTCTGTTTGCCTCCTGTAGCCATGTTTTATTTAAAACTTGTATCTATGACATCACACAATTAAGTTACAGAATAGATGTTTGGAAAGCACCTCAGTGGGAATGCTTCAGTTAAATACAAGATAACAGTCTTGTTTATCTTTTAATATACTTGGTAAGAAAAAAAATAATCACTCCTCTACTATCTTATCCTATTTGAAACAAAAGCAAGAAATAATAATTTATTCTAAATAACAGTATTTATTTGTAAAACAAAAGTATTATACACAATATCTCCCTGTGCTAAAACCAGTTTGTAGGTGCTTTGTCTGTATTTTTTTGTTAGTATTTTTTAAAACTAATCTACTTAGACCATTCAAAAATAATGCAGAGCATCCCACTCTAAACCTCTGCTAAGCGTATCCTGAAAGAGATGTAAGGCTAAGTACTTAAGGGACTTAAGATGAGAAAAACCTGAAAAGAACCATTAAGTTCAGAAAGCAAAAGAAGGAGAAATAGTACAGGTTGCAGAAGGTAAAATTAAATGTCCTTATTATTTTTTGCAATAATGCAAAACAAAAGGAAATTGTAAGGTTACTTTTAAAGCAGAAAAAACCCACCACTATTTTCCTTAAAAAACAATTTAGCCCTGAAAAAGAAAATCCACAACATCAATGAATTCTGGTGCTTCAAACGAGTAAAAAGAAAAAAAAAAAAAAAAAAAAAAAAAAGGCAGGACTTAAGTGTACATACATACTTAGTTTAGAGGAGAAACAATGGTACTATTATGAATACTTCTAAAAGTGTCTTTTCATAGTACACTCCAAGCACACAGAAATTAGAAAAAAAAATACTACAAATAAGTAAAAAAGGAATTTTTCATGAAAGGGGGTATCCTTTATCATTTCTGAAATCAGTGTTACCAAATAGGAGCTGCAGGACAAGCTGATTGCAAAATATTAATTCTGAAAGTACAATTTAACATGATTTTTTTTTTTCATATAGTTAGCATATAGGCTTAGCTAATCATATGCATTGGTATAAAATGTCTTACAGACACCAGCTATTATTGTCATTACTAACACCCAATGCATCTTTATCAAAATAAAATATTAGGGCTTACCCACAATTTCTGTCAACAAAGTAATGAAGATTTAACTATGATAAACCACTACAATGAAATCCAAACATGTAAGACGCATTCTGTTCTCTTAGGCATGTGGCAAAAAAACCTGCTTTCAATTATATCAATTCAAGATAAATTCATGCAAAACAAATGGAAATTCCCTTAAGAGCAACAAATACACAATTCAACAGTCTTATAATTGCACTTGTTGATTATAAATGTAAGCAAGGCTGATTACACACTGTTAGCTAAGCAGGCTTGCCAATTCCTTCCAAAATAAAACTAGATCAAATAAAACATGCTTAGAGATACAAAGCACACTGCGAAGAGAGGACGGTGAAGTACGTGTATTTTCAAATTGTTAATTTTTTCTTCTTTATTTTAAACAGTTTTAAAGGATTTGAAAAGTGAGTATACAAAGGACAAAACAAGTATCTAGTCATGGTTGTTGAAAAGCACCACACAGATGTTCTCTGTGTAGTCAAACTGAAGTAAACTTCATAAGAGAAGTTTTTCAAAGGTCAGGTTTTTCCCCCTCAAAAATACAGACAGCCCCAGACCTAAGGAATTAAAATGTAGTCTCTTCCTAAATAAACAAAACAAAACAAAACAAACAAGCAACAAAAACTAACACCAACTTTCCTGGGCTCATAGCAAAGGTGAATGAGAATCCCATGCTGCCGGGAAGTATCTATCAAGTCTTCAGAGGCCTGTTATCTTCATTTTGTTATATAGCCTAAGTGCATCAAGACCATGAAAGGGTTGAAACAAAGGAATCCAACCTAGTTCAGAGAAAGAAGTCCAGCAGGTGTCAAGAGTGTGAACCTTCTCTTCTGTAGTTAAGTAGAAGACAGTAGGAAACAAGTAAAATTAAAAAAAAAAAAAGGTAGTAATTAAAAAAACCTGTCAAGTATGGGAAAGCTAAAAGAGTGAAGATAACTTTGATAGAGGAGCTCTGCGGACAGGACAGCAAAGATGTTATCTTGCAAATCTGTATGTTGTAGAAAAGCAGAGAGCTGGAGAGAACTGGAAGAGAACCTAAAAATTCAAGCAAAGGAACAAAGTCGTTCTCAGACTGGTAGCAGCAATTCTTCCACAGTACAATTCTGTACCATGCCAACATACTAGTCCACTCAAAGTAAATTTAATCTCTATATTACATACCACAACGTATGTAGGCATACTCTCTAACACATGAGGTCCCAAATCACCGATGTAGCACCAGTGTAGCACGCCAGTGTCACAGTGTGAGGGCAACACTTCAGAGCAATCAGACTTCTCTCCATTTAGCACAGAACGAGCTGGGCAGTTATTACATGCACATTAGAATAAACCAGTCTTTTCTTCCTACGGATTTCCGTACAATGCCTTATATCACTCTTTTGTCTATTAATACTATGAATGTCTTCCCTGCAATACTTTTAGTTCTCTTTAGTCCCATAACTGTGATTCCCCAACCCCTAATACACCTAAATTAGGTGTAAAAAGAGGGAAGAGGAGAGAAAGAAGAAAAAAGGGAGAGGAGGTGCAAAGGGTTCAGTATGCAGGAACACCAGATAAGTCTTCTTTCAGTGTAAACAACAGCATGACAACAGTCAGTTCAACTTACCTACACAGCTGTAAGAACCTATGTGTTCCTACACATAGGGAAGAAGGGAACTTTCCCTCAATGACAGAAAGAAAAACAAGTTTCTCCCCTGTGGAGGTTCTCAAGTATTCACAAAATTTAATTTTGGATTACTCACACTCCTAATAGTTTGAGCTAAACTAATCATTTTGGCTTCAGTCATTCTTACAGTTCTTCTTAGTCATAGTCCAGGAAAAGGAAGCCATTAGGTAAATCAAAGCTGCGGCCCAAACATTCCAAGAATTTTTAAATGTAATTAAAGCAAACATTTAAGGTTCGGTCAGGAAAATACTTGTCTAATCCTATCAGTGTATACTCAGAAGACTTAAGTATTGTATCTGCTAGTATAAGCATAAAAAGTCTGGAAAGCCCTGTGAGGAAAATAAAGTTGAGTGGCATGAGAGATGAAGTACATGTAACCCTAACATGAGAGGGTTTAAGTATTTCCTAATACTAAGAACTATATTGGAAGATGAACCATGAGTTTATATATAATTACTACTCATGTCCAAAGGGCCATGGGAATGCTACTCACTCCCTAAACTGGACCTAAAAGCCCTTTGATCCTTTTATGTACATTTTATAGGTGATGTGACACATTACACATGAAAAAAACTTGTTTTATGAGCAAGTAGGAGAGCAAAATTTTAAGGATTAGAGCACCAGAGAAACACAACGGAATACAGTGATTAATATTTCATCAGTACAGGAAGCAAGAGCTTTTGCTTCTCTAAAAACTATCCACCAGGAAAGTCTGAGAAAACATACAATGACTAGGAAGACTAGTAAGCTAAACAAACTGAAATAACAGGGTCTTGTGATAGCCACAAGATGTGCAGTCTGTCAGTAGGTTGCCTGTACATAAGGAAATGACTAATTACTTCACAGTTGTAATTGGCAATTTAATATATTTAAATCTTAGCATTCAAGAACAAAGTTTAAGTGCAAACTGAATTTTCCCTTTTTCTGCAATTAACAGAGGACTTAGTGACCCAGGTAAAAGGAGAAGCCTGTACTGCTTCTCAGTTCAGGACTGTTTCCCAGCTTTTTACTGTAGCAAAACTATATAATTAACACAAGTAATAAAGCATTAAACAGAGGAAAGGGAATTTATAAGAAAAACAGCACATCAATCAAATTGAAATCCCACAATTCAGAATATCCAAAACATGTCATCTTAAACAAAATTATTATGAATGTGAGCTGCGTAACAACAACTCAACCATCATTTACCGTGTTTCTGATTGGAATTTTCTTCGGTTCTGGTGGCACATCCTGAGGAACAAATTTCACTGGTTCCTTTATCTGCCTCCTTGATCGTTTGGTCCCATCTGGTAAGGTTTCCATGGCAATATCAGCCTCCATGTCACTGCTACCTGCCTGGTCACACTCTGAGCATTGCCTGCAAAGTAGCAGATTTTCTATTTAAAACTGCAGTCACAAAAGTAGAAGAAGATATATATTAAAGTGTTTGGGTTTAAAATAAATTCAAAAGTCAAGAAACCCAATGGACACCTAAAAAAGTCCCACAAACATATGATATTTTAAGCAAATAAGCAAAAAACAAGCATGACATTCTTATTGATGTTTTCTTTCTGACAGTATTTATTTTTTGAAAACCAAGATTTTGAAAGTAGGATTTAATCTTCAAGAGAGATGCACCCTATTACACCATTTGCATCCCACCATATCCCCATTTTTAATGGTGCCTACTGATCTGTAATCTATTCATTATTGTAACTGCTGCTGCAGTTTAATCTTTATAATGACACGCTGCTGAATTAATTCTGATGAAAGCACTTTTTAGTGGCAGGGATTTAGAAGACATATCAGTTATGAAATTCAATTTTAGTATGTATTTTCTAAGAGAGTGGATTTTAAATCTGAAAAAAACCAGCTAAGAGAATTAAAGATATAGAAGCTGGAGACTTATATTAACAAACTTTGAACGCTGACTTGAAAGAAATGCCTGTTGTGTTTTTGAAAAAGTACAAAATCAGAATTCAAAAGTGAATAGATGCTAAGGTAATGCTATTAACAAGTTCCATGACAGAACTAACAAGATAGGAAGTCATCAAGTTTTGTTCTCATTTGCAGAAAATACTCATCTTATGCAAAGTCATAAAAGTGGATGTTAACTAAAAATATGTTAATGAAAATTTAAAAATTATATGCACTGATTAAGAGCTATTTTTTAATTCCTTCTCACATTATACTTCCAGTTCAAAAAAACCTGTAAATCCTTTCAAACAATTTCCAATTCATCACTGTTCTCATATTAACAATGTTCTTTTTATAATACCAACTAAAAAAAAAAAATCAACGTTATGTTCTGCTATTAATTGGCATTAACAGTGATACACACATTAAAATTATCTAAATGAAGGAGCAAATTTGCTTTGGAAGGAGACAAACAAAAAACATGTATTTAATTATTTGAAGTTAAATGTTAATACACACTTGTGACAAGAAGGCATACTCATCCCGTATCTAAACAAAAGGACAAATTCAAGTATGTATGTTGTGTCTGAGCTGATTTTTTCATGTGTACATGTTCAACAGGAATACAGTTTCTCCTAAAAACTTCAGCAAGGGCTAACACAATATCAACTCCATCAACTTTCCATGTTTTCTAATTCTTTCAAACTAATCCAAACAGTATAACCTCAGATCTCTCCTGGCTATACCAAAAGACAACCGCAGTCATCATGGTCCGCTAGACAGACCAGTGGCTACCAAGTCAAAATAGAGGGGATCTAATCCTGGATTGGGTAACTGTATCAGTGAAACCTTGGTTAAGTCAACACCTTTCTCCTTCAATCTCTCTGTATGCAAAATTAAGATAATTGTGGCTACATCATTATGTCATGAAGATTAATCACCTTCTACCTCTAAAGCACTTGAGACCGCTGGAAATAAGACACATGCCAGTGCTACAAGTATTTGCTGGTCTAGAAAAAGCAGAACTACTGCAGGGTAGATTGCAGGAAAGATAACAGTGTCTCTCCCCTCCCTTACTTAAGTATAGAGACTTCATTAGTAGCCAAAACACAAGGAAGTCAGTTTATGCAGTTTTTATACTTTGCAAACAGTTTTGGGCCAGCATACAAGTGTGCAATACTCTGTTCTTCCTCCTCTTTACAAACACAAACCTCAGTTCGCTACAGACACAGTACCTAATAACATTTTTAGGCCTCCTTAGGACACTAAAATATAAAACCTATAAAAAAATATAAGGTACAATAACTTTCACAAAACACTACTCTTACAGTTATGTTTACATACTTTTGTGTTTATAAACTCCCACAAATATGTATACACATGCACTTAAGTAAATAAACAAAAGTACACAGACCAAACTATTATTATTGTAAGATTTTATGGCAAAAGGCTCTCCAATGATGTAACAGGAGAGAGAAGCTTTAGACGTAACAGCATTACCTCAAAATTTTGTGTGTCTGCTTAGCTAAAGGTTACTTTAGTTCTGTACTTTTATATGATGCACTGTCTTGAAGTTGTCCAACTCAAAACTCTAAGGAGATTTTCTGTTTGGTAAGCATTAGAAAGCACAGCCCTCCATAATATTGCAGCATCAGTTGTGTCATTAATTTATGTAACGGAAAGCACAACTGAAAGTACTTACTATGATCTGCTTATGCAGATGTAAGCAATAGCTATGAACTGTTCAAAAATACTGTGATGAGCAATTCTTACAAAAAGTTTATTTTCCCCATTATTATGGTAAAAATATGTACTATGTATAAATTAAAAAATAAGCATTCTACAACTAAAGAGCTGCATTAAAAAACCCTGAAGTTTTTATAAGACAAAAAAATAGTAGTATGATTTTTAGCGCAACATTTGGAGTTGGGAACCCAGCCTCTTGGATCTACCTCCCTACACCCATGATTTAAATCATTCCTGTTCTTTAGCTCTGCACTGTTAAAAGGGAAAGACACTGTTTTTCTGCTACATAAGCTCAGACAGTTGTACAGAAACTGACTATGCAGATCTGTAAAGTACTTTAGTTTCATTAGGGCCCTATTTAAATGTAAATAAATGAAGTATTCTAACTTTGATGTTAGCGAGGAAGACAAGAAACATCTCCATCAACAGATGAGGTATTGCAGATGAGGTATTGCATGCAAGTTCCTGAAATTCCATTTTTGTGATCGAGCTTGCTCTGAAACAGGTGGTGCAAGTGTCACAGCAATCAAAATTAGAAAAAAGCTAGACTGACAAAAAGCAAGCTGCAAAACCATAGTATGATGCGGGAGGTGGGGGGGTGTGAATCACAGAACAAAACTTCACAAATACACTGAAGGTGAGGGGAAAAAAGGAAAGTTATAAACATGAACTCACAAGCAACCTCTTGATTTACTGGAATAGCCTCTACTATCACAGGCAACCACATCTTATCAACCCTATTATAAAGCAGTCAAGCTTCAACTATAAAGTAGTTTGGCTGTTAGCTCCCATAACGCCCACAGAAAAGCTATTACAGACACACACTCCTCTGACTTGGAAACAATCTTCTAACTTTCAGCTCCTATTATGGTTTATTTCAACACGGTTCTTGAATTTAAAGAACTCTTTTCTCATTCTGCTGTTTAATCCCAACATATTCATAGAAAGCAGCCATATGACTCTTCTTCCTTTTGGCTACGCTAAAGTCATGCTCATTTAATCTCACCTCTTCAAGGACAATCAGTGAATAGAGAAACTACCACAACAGGTCACCTTTCCAACTGTTCCAACAATCTGCGACTACCTCTAAATTAGAAAGCATGGCCATGCAGCACAAGCAAATTAACAGGAGAAATGGTGCCAAAGATTCAACTTCTGTACACAGGTTTTGCTTTGCTTTTAGTCTGGACTTGCCTAATCTAGACTCACAGAGAAAATCAGCAGTAGGCAATAATATGCTGACTACTAAAAATCACTGGAAACGTTTGATCCGTCAAGAAATCTCAGTGATGATTTGAAACCTTTTAATCATACAGAAAGTCTTTGATTAAGCGCTAACATCGTACAGAAGAAAAAAAGTTGCATGGTTTTGTTGTGTTTTCAATCTGACTTGGTAAAAGAACCAATGGTACCAGAGATACCTTCCCATCTCACAATGCAAACGGATCTTCTCAACTCACTAGTGAAAGACAAGAACAGCAAGTGAGAAGGAACACACATTATTAATTTTCAAAAAAGATTAATGGTCCAGGCTAACACTGAAACACTGTTTTTGTGTAACTGCATGATGCAAATGTTTCTGCATTGCCTGGTGGTGAATAGATTTTTGAGCGTCGGCAGCTTCAAGAAACGTGTTAACCTATAACGGGGCTTTACTTTGGGGTTTTACTAAGCACTCAAAGACCAAACAGTGCTTTCTGTTTACGAAATTTTAGAAACTGATAGCATGATGCCTTTAACCTAGAAATTTACAAAGTAAAAAAAGTGAACATATACATCAGTGAGAAACAAGGAGGGAAGGGATAGTTTGGAGATGAAGTGGTTTTTTGGTGAAGTGGCAATGAAAACCATAGAGAGAAAACCCTGTTACTTCCCAAAAATTTAGTGCAAACAATGAGATTATGACATTTCTTTATGCGGCAGTTTTACGCATCAAAAAAATCTAAATCCATTTTAACTGAAGGGCCTGGCACATGGAAATTTGTGAAATGATGATGAGAAGAGCTGAAGAAACACTGAACACCATTCCTTTATAAATGAAAGGTCACGAAGTTGAAGATCTCACAAACAGGGCTCAAAGTCAACATACTGGTAAACTTAACATGAATCCGTTTTTATTTTTGAAATTTTAATAACAAAGCAAACAGCATCTTTGCTATATGAGACAGAAAACCAGATAAAAACATATGAAAGTATTTTATTGAAAAGGTAACACTACAAAAATTAGGAAAAAAATTGAGGAAAAAAATGAATTAGACTGCCTTGACTGCATCATGGTACATAGTTTCAGAGTGGCTTCTGTGAGGAAAATACAAAGGACTCAGTCTGAACAAGACAGTCATTCTTTTAATCACATCTGGGCATTAGACCAGAGGAGGATTTGGAAGAAACCAGCATCCACTGCATACTGTGCTTACTGTAAAGAGTAAATTTAAATCTTCTTTGCTGAGTGAACACCACAAAAGTGCTTCCAGAAAATAGTTCTGCCCTCAGTGTTTAAAAAGGAAAACTGTACAGTTCTTAGTTAGAGTTTGGCTTGTTTTTAATTAGGAGGAAACAGGTCTTGCAGACATACTCTGTGATAAATCACTTCTTGCAATTTTAGCAATGAATTAAACCACTTTCAATTTAAGAAACATGGACCACAGCTTTAAGATGACACCTATGCTCTGTTAATTTGAACAAATCACACATGTTGAATGATGTACTGGAAGTGGAAAAAAAAAAAAGGACTGCTCTTATTCTGGAGGTAAAAGACAGTATATATGAAGCAAAAATAGTTTGTCAAAGAGCTTCAAAGAGCATCTTTCAGACAGTAAAGGTACTGAAAATTTGCCATTTGCAATGACCCAAACATCCTTCAATTAGCACAAGTGACAAATACATAAAAATTTATGTTATATACAATAGTACACTGCACTCACATTTATGTAAGGTAGTAATTTTATATCATTATCTAATGACTCAGGATGAAAAAACAAGCAAGATGTGCTGGATCAGTACTGAATGAGTGTGGTAAGGAATACGAATGACTGTCCAGATACTGAATGAGTGTTCATGGGACTGCTGGTCAGGAACTACACAGCTTATTCTGTCCTGTAGCAAATACTCCCCACAGCAGTTACCACTAAAATAACTTGGCTTCCCAAAACAAAAATAAAACCCACCAAGCCTAATATGATCATTAGTCCTTCTTTGGTTCATCTCAGTCTCCAGCATTTCATATGCTACCAGAAGTTACCACTGTTTTTCAGCAATCTCATTTCAATAGGAAGAGCTAGTCCCTGTTGGTAGCCGCCAAGTATTTTCTTAATCAAAAAGTCAATATTTTACAACCAAATTTTGATTCACTGTATTGTCTGTTAACACGTGTGTATTACTTTTGTATCAGTTCAGATCATTCTCTACCAGAAAAATACAGAGTTCCCAGTCCATCCAGAATGGGCAGGAGCATAAAAGCACACAAGTTGTCAGAGAGAATGACAAGACTTAATTTTATGATAACATGTGAATCAAAAGAATATTCTAGTGTTTACTCAACAGGATTTCTAAAAAACTGAAAATTTCCAGATTTTTCAATAAAAGTATGCCACGGCATTTTACTCTACGATTAGAACTGCTGGTCTACTTTGAAAGCATCACATCAAAACAGATAGAAATTAATGCTTTCATGTTTTATTACATAGAGTTGTTACCCTCTTCCTCTCAAAATAAATCCATTTGAAATGAGGACAGGCTTTGAACTTACTGTGTGTCTTGGGTTTGCATGGCAAGGTTTTGGTAGCAGTGGGGTAGACGGGTGGCTTCTGTGAGAAGCTGCCAGAAGCTTCCCTGATGTCTGACAGAGCCAATGCCAGCCGGCTCCAAGATGGACCCTGCCGGTGGCCAAGGCCAAGCCCATCAGCTACAGTGGTAGCACCTCTGGGATAACATGTTTAAGAAAGGGAAACAAACAAACAAAAAAAAAGGCCCGGGACACAAACTGCAGCTGGAGTGAGGAGTGAGAATATGTGAGAGGAACGCCTATGCAGACACCAAGGTCAGTGAAGGGGGAGGGGGAGGAGGTGCTCCAGGCACCGGAGCAGAGA